CTAAAAAATTAATTATTGTGAATCTAGATAACTTAAAATTCCAATATAGACATTTCCGAGAGTTAAAAGATCAACTTCATATAAATAGATAAATGATTATAATAAATTTCATATAATAAATCAATAATAGCTTTAATCCAATAATAAATAATAAAAAATTTAACGAAAACGGTAAAAAACTCTTTCAAGCTAAATATATAAGTTTATCATACCGAAATCGAGGGAGAGTCCCACGAGCCCAAATAAATATAAATGAAATAACATGGCAACGGCAACATGGCATTTTTTAGGAATTTTTCGTATTTATCCCTGTTTAAAGCTTTATTAATCATATGGAATGGGCCAATACCATTCCAGATAAAAAATCCCCACACCATGATTAATCCTCCACCATACTTAACAATGCGTGGAACATAGCGAGGATAAAATTTTTGAATTAATGGAGGGTGAACATACCTTCGGCCATCAGGACCTAAGCGATTAGTTTTTGATACATCGTTCCAAACGACATACATCCGTTGATTAGTTGTGTTAGACCAATAAGAGTTGGCCAAGTCGTTTCTAAGGAGTCAGAAGTGGGTTCCTGCGTACTTCCCTGCCGTGAAGTCCACATACGACCGAACACCTCGAAATTGTTTTCATAGATATTTGTACATTATATTCATCTTGAATTTCACGTAGAATGCCAGTAGAACTCTATTTTTGGGACTCTTCGGGAGATAGTGTTAATTTTGCAGAACATTTGACCTTATTCGAAATTTCGTTGCACATCTCTCCAGAACGACGAAGGTCAAAATGTAGCTGCGAAGGGTAGGTGTACAGCGGCAGCTTTTTCTCATTAAAAAACTTCAATAATACGTTTCAAAACACAACTTTAAACACAAGCTTACCAGAAATCAATGATATTATTAACAACCGTTTCTAATTAGCTGTCGCACTTAATGCACCTTCTGAGTCGTGACGCATTTACTATTTGGGAAAAAAATTTAAAGAACTTTGACTTCACAACTACAAAACAAAGTTAATTTAGTAGTAAATAGAGTAACACGAATAACGCAAGACTTTTAGGTGGTATTTCAACATTTTTTTATCATTATACTCATCGGCCACCTACAAAAAAGGGAGCGCTTCTAATTAGCTATCAACGGCTGTACATTTCTTTTATTATTCTACGAATTTCGACTCGTTCAGTCTATATCATATCTTTTTACTCCTTCCGGTAACTTTACGTATTTACGTTTTTATATCTGTGTGTAACACCTTGAAGAAGACGTCGTAGGCCTTATAAAATATGTACATATAAAATTATTAGCGTGTCGAGCCGAGTTGATTAAGGGTTGTCCCTTTATCTGTCTCTTTGTCCATCTGTATATACGCGAACTATTTCTTGAGTTTTTGAGGTATCTTCTTAGTATGAAGCTGCTCATTTGTTGGACACACTGATATCGGACAACTATAGCATATAGCAGCCATGTGAAAATATATCAGCTGTTTGAGTTGGCATGGTATCTACACAAAATTTGGCAAAAACTATTGTTCAATCCAAAGCTTTAACATATTGTTCAGATCGGACCACTCAAAGTAAAGTTCTTGTTAGGAAAAAGTTGAACCTGTGAAGTGTATTACAGTTTTGGTGTGGATGAAGGTATAGCTTTTTATTATTTTTTTATTATATTTGGCTTTATAACCTCAGAAAGGAAGTTGGTTCTAATTAACCAGAATTTATCTAGATTTAAATCTCACAAACTTGTTTGTGTCGTAAAAATAACTGAGATCTCTTATGTTCTAATGGAGATTACTATAAAAGGAGCTTACAAAGTTTTAGCGATTTTTTAGTACCATTTGTGTATCTAACAATGACGCCCACGCACCAATTATGATAATCTCGTAAATTAGTTCGTCCAAGACGATGTCTACTATAGTTAGCTTCCTTCATTATAACGCCACTTTGAATATCTACAGTCGCCTAGCTTTTCCATCCTTACATGTTTCACATGTTTTGATCCATTTCAATAATTACTATGGCAATGGTAGCGAAAAGTAGTAGTCTTTGCTACCTTAAATAATATACATTTATCTCATAGGTACACGATTGTATGCCTTTGACGAACGAGGGGGCATTGGCTTGTGGTAAGGGTGTTGACTGTTGTCTTGACCTTAAGATGATCAACGAGCGGGATGACTTTACTTAAATGAGCTTATTTTGAAAACCTAAACTAAGGCATGCTTCTGACAGATAGTTTTTAAGGCTACTTCTACAGGTCCTCATAATGGATGTCTTTAAAGAATTAAACTATTGGTCAAACAAAATTGATCCTAAACAGATTCTCACAAAAAGTTCATTCGTTGACACTTTCATTTATTTTTATTAACAAGTAAGTAAGGGCTAAGTTTGGGAATAACCGAGCACATTTCATACTCTTGCAACTTGTAAGGATAAAAGCCGGGGTAATAGTTTCAGGTACATAAGGCTTGTTAGCTATATGAGTCTAGGGCAAGTTTTCAACCGACTTAGTTCATTCTAAG